TAATGTGGCATTACCCTGACTGAAAAATGTCAAAGTGTAGCAAAGTAGAATACAGAGAAATGGGCCACTCGAACTAACATATCATTCTAGGCAGTCATGGGCGTTGCCTTGTATTCATTCCTTGTCAGCACGTTTTTTGTGTGTTATCACCCCAAGAGCTCAATCCTCTCTATTTTTGATGGACATCTTGGTTGGCATGCTTGTCCTAGTACTTTCATGTGTTTTGCTTGTTCTTTCTTTTCGGGAACACCTTTGGTTGGGAACTATGTATTAAATGATGTAAAAATAAGTTAGCTTCGATGCATCGTATGATGCAGAGACTGTGGGTAGTAAAGGCTTCCAGTACATATATGTATAATTGAAACTAAACACCAGCAACTTATGTTAACTCCATTGTATGAACACCAAATGATGGGGGACAAACCCCACGTTGTATGAACACCATATCACGGAGGACAGACCCAAGTTTTTTTTTCCACATTCAGTCTTTGGGGCCACGGAGCAAATGCTATCATGCTCACCTCCTCCATAACCTATATGCTACCATCATCACCACATGGTAGCTTAATATCAAAATCCAAAAGGGCGAAGAGGCCTCTATTATGATCATGGCCCATCTCTTAGAAAACAGAAAGAAGGTCGTGCAACCTTTCTTATCTTATTGGAGCAAGTCACGGTCCAATCATTGCTGCTTGACTAGTTAGCACTTAGTAGAAATGTATGAAGCAAGCTAGCAGATAAAAAACAATTCTCCTCAATCGATCACATGTGTTCCTCGATCAGATGGTGGCGGACAGAATCAAATCATAAGAAGATGCATTTCTAAAGCAGAGATTCGGAGCCCTTTTAGGAAGAGAAGGCGGCAATTTCCTTGCAATGGTATGTGTTCCAGCTTTTCTTTTAGTAAAGGTGTCAACTTTCCTTCTTGACTAATTAAGTGCATTCTTTTGTAGCTTGTGGAACCGCCACTTCAAATAAACAAGCGTCTTATAGTGAAGAGATAGAGAAGATGAAGATTAGTACTAGTACTAGCAAAGAATGACGATGGGGTTATAGTAGAACCGTCGACGTTACCAATATATATGTTTAAATGACTCAGTAAGCCCGAACGGAGCTTAATTAGCTTTGCACCCATATCATAGACCAAGTTAGCTTGCAAGAGAACGCAAAACATACACCAGCATGACCACGCCTTCGCGACCCCATTCCCAGCCGCTGCCAAAAATCCTACTCCTTGTCCTACTTTCAGCGACGATTCCTCACTTGATCCCGGAGGCTGCTGCTGCTGAGCAAGATGAGCAGCAGCCGATCACACTTGCGGGTTGCCCCGACAAGTGCGGCAACATAAGCATTCCCTACCCATTCGGCATGAAGCCTGGGTGCTTCCGAGAGGGCTTCCAGGTCACCTGCAACGACTCCTTCAATCCTCATCGTGCCTACGTTGCTGACAGCAGAGTATACCAGTCTACATTCGAGGAGTACGACAGGGTGAAGGTAGGCCGTTTTAATACTAGCTAAAACTGAGGTAGGATCGATGGAGCTTGCTGCTATATAAGACTATCATTGGAGTACTAGTAGCATAGTAGTACGTATGGTTTACTGTGTGGTAATCTATTAATGATTTTTACACGGTGCTGTAATTAACTAATTAATGTTGCATTTGTCTTCGACCATAAATTAATGCAGCCAGAGTTCAGTGAACTTTGGAGTAGAACGCTGGATACCACGGCGTTTGAGCTCATCGATATATCCATTGCAAATGGTGAGGCGCGAGCCTATGGCGCGGTCTCATCTGTCTGCAGCCAAAATGAAACCGACTACATATCCAAGAATCAACATATGAAGTTGGGTGAGAAGATGAGTCCGTTCTTCCTGTCGACAGAGCGCAATGTTCTCATCGGCGTCGGCTGGAGAGTCCAGACTAGGGTCTATAGCCACCTATGGTCGCCGTCAGTACATGGCAACTCACAGAAGGAATTAATTCTCTCCTGCCTTTCAGACCTTGCGGACCCGCAGCTCCTCGCGTTCGCGACAAACGGGTCATGCAAGGGGCGGGGCTGCTGTGAAGCTGCCTTGCCGGAAGCACTTCCCATCACCGTGCTTGGTCTGGCCTTCACTATGAACAACAATAACACCTTGTTCAAGACCAACCCGTGCTCCTATGCCATGGTGGTGGAGAGCTCATGGTACAACTTCTCCACGCCAGACATGTATGGCTACGAGGTGCTACCCAATAGATACCCGAGGGGCGTCCCTTTCGTGATCGATTTCTCCATCCCGAACGGTTCATGTCCGGCAAAAGGCCAGCCGCCACCTTCAGACTACGCCTGCGTCAGCGGCAACAGCTCCTGTGCCAACACGACTACTGGCCAGGGGTATGTTTGCAAGTGCTGGGACCACTACGAAGGCAACCCTTACATCGTCAATGGATGCCAAGGTGGAATTATTTTTTTCAGTTTCCACATCCAGACTCTCTCTTTTAATTTTATTCCACACTGCTCATATAGGAACTCCATCTTACTTTTATCCGTGCCTTTGTATTTCCCCTTTTCAGACATCAATGAGTGCGAGCTCCGCGATTTGTATCCTTGCTCCGCTGACGGGGTATGCAAAAATAAGTTAGGAGGCTATGACTGTCCATGTAAACCAGGAATGAAAGGCGACGGCATAAAAGGAACCTGCACAGATAAATTCCCCGCAACAGCACGGGTGATTTTGGGTAAGCACAAATTTAGGCTATGACTGTTCTTGTTGTTTTATATACTCCTATCTAGCTAATAGTACAGGATCTGAATCTACCCTTTCTTCTCTGTTTGTAGTCGTGCATAATTTTGTTGTTACATCTACTTAATGCTGCTTAATCAGCATGCGTCCCCTCAAGACACATTCCCGAGTATAACTAGCAGAACATGGTAGGTGCCGGTCTATCTGGTGTTGGTAATGGGGCTTTCTACTAGTGCGTCTGAAAAAGGTCCAAAAATGAACGAAATTGTTGCCGTGCCAGGAATGCAACATAATGTTTATTTTCACTTGATATTTTCTTCTTATACCTGTGTTACTCCCTACTAAACCTGACCTACTAAGATTTGATAATCTGGAACAGTGCTGAAACTAAACAGATGGTTAACTGGTGCCGAAATGTTTCGGCAAAAAAAGAGGTGCCGAAATGTTTGGAGGCCCAGAACTCCCGGTCTTAGAGTCCAAATTTGAAAGTCTCGGTATACCCGGAACTAAACTCATGGGTGTTTTCTAGATCTGCACATGGGTACATACAATTTAAGTACTTGTGAGCTATACAAGCATGGCAATGGTTTTAGTAGGCGCTGCTGTGAATAGGATTGTTTTTCTTTTATGAGGCAGAAGGAGTAGGGATGAGTGTTTATTGTGGCCAGGGTTCCTCACACAAACTCCTAGATGTAACCCTCGGATATTCTCAGCTTTGGGTCATATCACAAACGGTTCCTCACCCAAAGTCATATGTGATAGGCTTGTATTATTAGTGACCAATGAAGTCAGACAGTTCACAAAATCGTTTGTGATAATATATATTTTTCTCACGTGGATGTCTTTGAAAAAAAAAACGCATGTTCATATGTGACACTAATGACAAATCTATGAATTAACCAGCGTGTGGGCAAATCCCCACATCGGAACTTGGCACAAACCCCTTTGTGCCATTGGATAGTGGGTCTTATCATGTAGCCACGTAGGGTGTGTTTGGTTGCAAGGGACTAGACTTTTTTTAGTCCCAGTGATTAAAAAAAAAGACCCTTCAGTAGAGTCTTTTTCTAGTCCCTATAGAATAAGTCCCTCCTGTTTGGTTACATAGGGACTTATAGGGACTTTTTTTTAGTCTAGTCCCTGTAACCAAACACCCCCGTAGAGACCCTGAGGTAGGAAATCAATGCTATTGTGAAACAAAACAAAGCAAGTTATCAGAAGTGTTGCTCCCTTTTTATATTTTCTTCTACACATAGAATAGTTCTTAGAATTCAGTTATATGAAAATCTTTTTATTTATGTGTCCATCCAGGTGGAATAGGTGGTGTTTTTATCATAGCAGCCATATCATTCCTTATTCTTCTTCGCAAAGAGAAAAAGAAAACTAGACAATTTTATGAGAAGAACGGTGGGCATACATTAGAGAAGGCAAAATTCATAAAACTGTTTGAAAAGGAGAGGCTCAAGCCAATTTTTAAGAGTAGCAATTTTATTGGGAAAGGTGGCTTTGGTGAAGTTTACAAGGGAATTCTTGATAATGAACCAGTCGCAGTGAAGAAGCCGATTAGTGGTAGTGTGCTAGAGAATGAACAGTTTGCAAATGAAGTCATCATTCAATCTCAAGTCATCCACAAGAACATCGTTAGGCTCATAGGTTGTTGCCTAGAAGTCGAAGCCCCGATTCTAGTCTATGAGTTTCTCTGCAGTGGTAGCCTCGATGACATTCTTCACGGCAAAAACAAGGTACCCCTCAACTTGGGTGTGCGTTTAAGTATTGCTGCAGAATCAGCAGATGGTCTGGTTTATATGCACTCAAAAACCAATATCAAGATCCTACATGGTGACGTTAAACCAGCAAATATACTTTTGGATGAAAAGTTTGTGCCAAAGATTTCAGACTTTGGTATATCAAGGTTGATTGCGAGAGACAAACACCACACGGGATCTATTATTGGTGACATGAGTTATATGGATCCAGTATATCTGCAGACAGGCCGACTAACAGAAAAAAGTGATGTCTACAGTTTTGGAGTTGTCATCTTGGAACTTATTAGTAGGAAGAAAGCCACACATTCCGAGGGTAGTAGCTTAGTGATCAATTTCCTTGAAGCATACAAAAAAGAGAGGAAAGCAACTCACTTGTTTGACAAGGAAATTATTGCAACTGAAGATTTGGAGGTTCTGGATAGTTTGACAGGGATCGCCGTGGAATGTCTTAGCCTTGATGTGGATCAAAGGCCATCAATGACAGACGTATTCAATCGCCTTTTCATATTGAATCAATCCCATAAGTCGCAGCTTGTTTGTGAATTATAGTCAGGTTGTCTATATTTGTCGAGATAGGCAACTATGGATGGGACAATGTGTATATTTGTATTGCTATTGTGGATAAAATACTTCAAGTAGAAGGAGGGGAGTCTCCCTTTGTTCCAAGAAAATATGTAATGTAACTCATTGGGTAACCCTGTGTGTTTACTGCCAAATGTATGTGTTAGTTCATCAAATCAAATGTCACTGGTACTAGGTTCAGTTTATTCATAAATAATGATCATTGTTTAGTGCATAGGGCATGCATCTACACTATGGCTGGTAAAAACTTGTATATTATTTTATTTGACATTGCTCACGAGTCGTAACTTGTTAATATGTATGCATGCATCAAAATGAGCGACTGACTGCACCGCGTACATCGACTGCATCCTAACGTCCTGTTATAAATGGTCTCGAGACTGAATGTTGCAAATGTTTTAGCTTCCGGGTACACTTCTAGGGTGAACTTATAGCAACGAGGTCAAAAGGTTTAGTTACTCATCGCAAAATAAAAAGGTTTAATTACTGCCAGCTCATTTGGGATCAACTGGTTGGTGTCCACGACGAGAGGGTCTGACTGATGCCGAGGCTTCACTGAACGTTGGTCGTCCGGCCGGCGTGATCGAATGCTGATTTGACAAGAGAGCAAGTGCCCGCGAGCGCTGCACACCGTGGCAACAGTAACTACGAGTAAGTAGTAAGTGGTCGTCACCGTCGTCGTCTCGTCTACCAACGGGGCTGGCACTTGCACGGACGGAGGGACGGTGTGGCGCGGTCGATGCAGTGCACCGCATGTGGCCGCATGCACAGGGGAGTAGCAGCATGCGTGCACCATGCAACGCGTCGTCTACGTCCATAGTCTGCACGGCTGGGTTCAGGCAGCATTCATGATGCAACGGCCGTTCATTGATGGTGCATGCAGCTACTGTTTCTGCCCAAACCAGTGGAACCAGCATCCAACAGGAGTAGCTAGCTAGGGTGGTGGTGGTGCAGGGCCGGCCAGGTCAAGTCAAGTCGCCTCCTCCCTCGCCTGCCATGAACCGCTCCGGCCTTCAATTCAATGCAAAGGTGCCGGAGCACGAGGAGGCAGCAGTAAGCCGTGTCGCCTCCTCCTCTCCTCACTCCCCATTCAACCAAATCCCGGCTCAAGATGGCGCCCCAGCCACTAGTGAACATGAAAGGTGCCTTGGCGCCTCTCGCAACCTTTGCTAGCTTGAACGAGACCACACGGAGATCTTGGTGCGTTTGCTCCGTCTGGCGTGATTCAATGCTGATTTGACGTCTGCACACGGAGACCCGGCTAGCTCAGATCACAACAGTAAGTCGTCGTCGTCGTCGTCGTTTTCTACCGCGTGGAGTGACGAACGTGTAATGCGCTGGCCGGCGTGCCGCGATGAACTGCAACGCATGTGGCTGGCCGCATGCACACTGGAGGAGTACTTCAGCCAAGCATTCATGATGCATGCAATGCAACCAACGGCAACCCAGCTACGCCTGCAGCCCGCACGGCGCTTCAGTAGTTCATTGATGATGCGTGCAGTTGGTTCTTGTGTCCAAGCGAGGCATGGTGGGGGCGTAAAAAACAGTACTGTAATAAATCAGTCAAGTCCCCTGCCTGCTTGAACTGCTTCCATTCAATTCGAAAGGGATGGAGCAGCTGGCCGGTGCCAGTCACCTCCTCCCCACTCCCCACTCCCTACTCACACTCTCGCCTTCCTCAGCTCTAGACCGCCCCGACGTCTTGCCCGCCTCCACATAGCTCCTAGCCCCAAGCAGTTCCATCCGTTTGAGCTCCTCCACTTCGATCCGTTCCCCTCTCTAATTCCACTCACCAGATCTGCACCCCCTTCGTGTACCTTGGTGGTCGATGGCGTCGAGCACCGGGGAGATCGCTCCCGGTCCTAGCACACCCGCTGTGGCAAATGCTGCTCCTCCGCCGGCGACCACCATGGAGGTCAAGATGGGTGCCCGGCTGCTGGCAGCGGCGGCGTGCTCAGGCACTTCCAAGAAGCTTGAATCGCTTCTCGACGGGCGAGCAACCGCCCCCGGCAACGGCAACGTCGGAAACCTGGCAATGCAGCCAGCTTCTCCTCCCGGCGACGAAGAAGCATTCCTCCGAGAGTCGCTCGTGTACGCGGTCACCACGGGAGGTGACACTCTTCTCCATGTCGTGGCCGCCACCATTTCTTATCACGAGGATTTCTTGAAAAAAGCTGGTTTCATCTACGGGAAGGCACCAGACCTCCTCTTCATGCAGAACAGCAGGGGAGATACACCCTTGCATTGTGCTGCACGAATGGCGAACATCAAAATGGTGTCTCTTCTCATTGATCTTGCTAGAGGCGAGGACGGCAGCACTAACAGAGTAAAGGCACTGCTACGAACAGAAAATAAGATCAATGAGACAGCCTTGCATGAGGCTGTGAAGTCTTTTTTTGTTGGACAACATGAAGTAGTCAAGTTGCTCATGGAGGAGGACTCACAATTAGCCAGTTTTCCGAAAAATGGTGCTTCGCCGCTATACCTGGCCATCTTAATGCAAAGAAAAAGCATCGTGAAAACACTCTACGAGTTGAGCGGCGGGGTTATTTCATACTCTGGACCAAATGGACAAAATGCATTGCATGCTGCTGTTCTCCGAGGCAAAGGTACTCATGCTCACTTCATTTTCAACGGTAAATCTTGTTTTAGCTGTCGACACATTTTTTGTAAGATAAGTACTATTTAGCATAAGTTTGGATGAGAATCATTAGTGTATTGTTATGTTCAAAAAAATTATTAGTGGGACTTGGGACTTTTGGGACTTGTATGAAGAATAAGTTATATCCTTCAAGTCATTTTTTTTTATCCTTTCCACCACATCCTATGTAGCTAGCATGGTTTCCATCAATGAAAATCAGGGTGAACTCCCTTCTGCAAAAAAAAATGTAAAAAGGAAATATATTCCCAGGCAGCTGCCCAGGCTGGCCGGGCTGTGGCTCCACCGCTGATTCGCCCGCGCACATATAGCACGCTCAAATCAGGATGGCAATTTGGGTTCACCGTTCATGTTAGTCCAAACGACCACATCTCACGAGTGTACTGCGTTGTGATGTAGGAGTACTAAGTTCCCTTATGTGTGGTTAACTGGTGATACCGTGATAGTTACCTTCTGACTATGAACAAATGCAAGTCACAAAAATCGATTGCTGCAAAATCTTCTTCAGCTAGTAAGACAGCATGGATCGTGAAAATCATGATTTTATTAACATAAACAAGTACATAATATTGCTACCATGCATGTCTTGATGTCCAAAACTGTGGTATATGCTTTCCATAATCCTGGGTCTTGCAACTTCTAAGTCAAGTCACATGTTGAGCAGTGTTTCTTCTCTTTTTTTAGACAAACACGAAGCCACTAGGTGGCCACCCCGCTCCATTACTACTTCATCTGGTCATTTTTACTTTGCATATTAGCTTTGACTGAAGTCATAGTTTGTAGAAAGAAATATTAACGTTTTTAATACCAAATAAGTAGCTTTAAATGCACTGTAGAATATATTTTCATATTATATTTATTTGGTGATGTTGAATTTTTAATGTAAAGTTGATCAAAATTTACAATGTTTGGCTTAAGAGTTAAGACACATCTAAAATACCGAAAAATGCCAATGACGGCCGAGCATCAGGTAGGCCTTTATCCTGGTCGTTGGCGTTCTATGGGGATTCGAGCTTTCCCGGTATTCTAGCGCGTTGTCCCCTCGTATCGCTGCACTGCAGCGTGTATTGATGCAGAAAGGAGGTTGCTTTAGCTAGGGAATCTAGCACCTGACAATGTTCCATTGTACTTCTTCCGTTCCAAAATATAGCGCGTTTTCGGTTTCCGTGCTTCAACTTTGACCATTAATTTAACCAACGAGACCGACTGCGACGGGCAAAAAAATTATATCAATGAATTCGTATTCAAACAAAGTTTTCAATTATATAATTTTTGATCCCGCCGCAGTCGGTCTCGTGAGTTAAATTTATGATCAAAGTTGAACCTTAAAAAGCGTGGGCGCGCTATATTTTGGAACGGAGGGAGTATTGTATACACTTGCATGTGCTGCTAGCAACCCCGCGCGCGCGCTCTCTCTCTCTCTGCCAAGCGCACTGACCCGCTCGTGGGAACAGTTGAAGGAATCCTGGCAGGTGGTACACTTCACCATTAGTTTTGACGCCCACGTGGATGAACTCTATCCACTAGCACCTAATTTTGTTACTTGGGATCCAACCATCATTAGCACCCAATTTTGTTACCTGGGATCCAACCATCATGCTCAGACAGTGTAACATCCAACAATCAACATATTTTGTGAATGTTAATGAACAAGTGGTGACATTTTATTCCTCAGCACCACCACGGACAAATTCCAGGATAGGTAATTTGTGTCAAGATTATGTTAAAGCACTATGGTCTCTTTAATCAACACCCTTTTTACATCAGACATGCCTAGTGCTCACTTACGAAACCACATGGCATCTCACTCACGCAAGCATATTGCCACTGCCGCTCATCCTTGCTAATTCCTCCTCCCAAAGCTGCTCAAGAACACAAAGAACAGATTGCATCTTCATGTACGGATGCGGTTAACCAGCCAGATGGGTTAATCACTGAGCCATCTCTCTTGTCGACGTATGTTGTAGAGCACTCTTGCGATTGGGATTAAGCTCCATCTCCTTTTGGAGTTCCTATTAGCAGTCTGAGAATAATCACATAAACACTTTTGCATGAGAAACAACCCCAGTGTTTCCAGATAATGAAGGAAAACGCATTAACATAAATTATACTGTATCTGACTAGGATATGCCATAACTATACTGCAGAAGCAAAAACTAAAACACATTTGTTATAGCATCATGCTAGATATAACACATCAATCAAAAGGTAATCAGCTAATTGTCCAAATCCAAACCAATCAAGGCACACCTGCCGACAGTTCTGCTAATTATAGCTAATTTAATTTGCAAGGACTTGGCAATGGGGAAATTTATTTCTTCAGCCAGCTTAGTTATCCACCGAAATGAACATATTAATCGCGGGAAACTAGCTAAACTTTTCTTTTTGTTTAATTGCACAGAAAGGCACGAACACCCTGCATGAGGTGTTCTTCAGAAAAATGTCAACAGAGTTACATGAATCAAAATAGTACAACATTCTTTCCCACTCAGATCTTTGCAATCAGTGGTACGAATTCAAACTTTACCCTACTCAAATGAAGTAATTATTAGCCTTAGATTGGCACATCAAGAACAAACCATCAAAACCATTACTAAGTTCCAGCAGGATGAAGCATCGACTATCAAAGTTAAATGGATTCCTCAAGACATCACAAAATCTCACTGGTTTATGAACATTTTTCTGTAACTGGAGTGAAGATCAAAAGGGGACACCTCAACAAAAATCAAAGACCAGCAAAAGTACTCATTGATGATCACAACTGACATTGATTTTCTCAAGAAAATTGGACATCACAGAAATACAGAAAAAAAATCATGGCCATGAAAAGCTAACCACATACTAGTGTATCCAGAGCCATAGCAGAAAAAAAATCATGGCCATGAAAAATCCAAGAAACGAAATCACAGCACCCATGCTTAAAAAAACACTAAGAATCGCAAGGTTAGAGCTCGAGCCATAGATGACGTTGTCCCCGCTGACGAATCCGGCACCTTCCCCCTCCGGCCCACCTGCATCTTCATGCTACCGGCACCCTCCTCCAGATCTGGCCGCACACATACCTGTGCCGGATCTGTCCTGCTCCTTCCCCGCCGGCGTTCCCTTCGTTGGAGCCTTGGAGGTGAGGCTGGGTACCTGGGTGGGGGCGATAGGAACGAGGACGACAGAGAGCGAGGGTGACGATGGCAATAATGGATGAGAGAGTAACGCAGGATGTGCCGAACATGTATGCGTAGGTGTATCCCAGACCGTATATGAAACACTAGGCCGACACTAGCCTGCCGACGGCCCGACGGATTCCAGATCCCCAAGCTCATTCCAACGCCGAGGATACCGGCCTGCCTGGTGCTCGGCTTCTGAAAATCCGCACTCCTAAAATACAGACTAAAAAGGAATGGAGTGAGAATGAATGAAACAGGATACAACAGTTATTTAGTCTCCAGTTCAGAACTGAAAAAATAAATCTACAACTAGAGGAGCTAACTGAATTCAGCCAAGAAGTGTCAGCAGGATCTCTCCAGGTTCTTAGTTCGCCAGCTTCTACCAGATTCGCCTTGATCGCCTCTGGTGGTGGAAGCCGAGTCGAGCTCGCATCACCAACAACCTGCAGCTTGAACTTACAGCCCTGTTAAAATAACAAGAAACTTTGTCCCAGATAGCTCTAGCTACCACACAATAGAATAGACGCCAGATTATTTTTTTCGCGAATACGCAAAGCTTGTGTATCATTTCATTGATAGAAGAAAGAGAATTGAGTACAGAGGAGGGTTACAAAACATGACATGAACGCAAGAAGGCATGAGCATGGAACCCAGAGCAAAGAGACAAGGGATGCTCAACCCGAATAGGAAAAAGATACAACTAAACCCACCAAGCCTAGAACTAGGGAGGCAAGCCAAACTGGCAAGACGTCAAACATCTTCAAATCCAACACTGGGACGCCGCGAGTTAGCAAGATAGCGCCTTCAAGAAGGGGAACGACATCGTTACGTTGCCGCTATCCGATCCGGATAACCGGATCTAGGGTTTCCCCCGATACTCGAAGAGGGGCACGGATAAAGACCATGACAGTCCCTTCAGGAAGGGAAACGACACCCACAAGTGCCGCCGCTGCCAGCATCGGCAAGCCGAGCAAGGTTTTCTCCTGGCCTTAGTTCGTGCAATCCCATTGGCACCAGATGAGGATCCGAAGATGAAGAAGTCAACACGCTAGATGACCGCCACCACAAAAGGGAGCAAGGTGAGGCTGCACCTGCCACCACGGAAAAACGCAAGCTTTGAAACCGGCGTGGCGTGTTGGTGGACGGGATTGGGAAGGCAGCAGACAGAGAGCCGATGCGGGGAGATGGTGGTGGCCGACGCGGCTAGCAAGCCAGGAACCGGAAGGGGACGCAGATCCGGGCTGCGAGGGACGTGGCCGCCGGAACACCGACAAGCCAAAGTAGCTGGAAGGGACGCAGCTACCGGAGTGTCGAGGCCGAAAATCCACACCGGCATAGCGCTGACAGGCCACGGACACTGGAGAACGCAGGTTCGTGGCCGTCAGGACCGGAGTGATGCCGACGAGGATCCACCGCAGAGCTCTGACCGACTGCCAAGAGAGACCACCATGACCAAACACGCGCAGAGGTCGACACCGCCGCTCGGAGGAGGCGCCGTCGGAGACGAAGGGTGGTCTGCTCCGGGGCAGGACCAAACCCTGGCCAGCCCAGCCACCTACGCCCAAAAGCAACGTCCTTCTCCACCAAAACGTGGAGAAGAGACAGATCAGGGAGGAGGATACCGGGCGTGGCCGCGCCGCCGCATCAGACGGGCAGACGAACCGCAGCAGTTGGAGGAGGTGCACGACCACAGAGCGCCAGATCAGATCCAAGAGGTGGTGGTGGTGGCGCTCCGGCATGACCTCACCGTCACCAGCTCCGGGCGCGGCGCAGCCTCGACGGCCGGCCCACCGGGGCGCGGGAGGGGGGTGATGGTGGAGGAGGCCCCGGCCAGATCGAGGGTTGGCGGGGATCTGGCGCGGGGGAGGAGGACGAGGCCGCCCCGCCGTCACCATCCTCGGGCGCGGCACGGCTTCGCCGGCCGGCCCTCCGACGATGGCGTAGCGGGGGGCGGTGGTGGAGCGGGCCTTCGAGCGGCGGCGAGGTCTTTCCCCCGTGTCGCCAGACGGGGGCGACGCGAGGGACGGGGAACGGTCTCCAGAATGCGTCGCCAAACATGGAGTAGGCATCTGAGCTCTCTGGAAAAATGCATCTGAGCCTACCGGGTCGCTTCGAGCGACTCCGGAGGCGCCGCCACGGCCAGCTTCGGAGGCCCTCCCTCACAGCCCCGTTCACCTCACCGCCGTCGGAGGAAGCCGGCCACCCAACGGGCGGCGGCGGCGGGGCATCTTTGGCCTTTTTTTTCTATTCTTCCCTGGTGGTCGCCTCCTGATCTGGCCGCCGTTGTCACCGTTGTGCGTTGCCGGCCTCCCGATCTAATAGTTCGCTGGTGATTGCCGGCCTTCTGATATGGATCATGTCCATGGCTTGGTGTCTCCCAATCTGGTTGCTAGCCGGTGATTCCGGTCTTCTAATCTGGTTGGTGTCCATGGCTAGGAGTACGATCCAGACAAGCATGCGGGGCTGGTGCATGGATGCTGCATACAGATGGCCGCGACATGTGCACATGCATGCAGATGATGGCCGCTGACTAGCTGCATCCCATGGTCTTGGCTGCTTGCCTTGCTGATTGCGCTCATCATCGAAAGATCTTTCTTTGAGTTTCATCTCTGCAGAGCCGGTGGTTGACTTCGGCGGCGAGATGCAATCTACGGATGAAGTCTTGATACAGAGGGATGATTGTGCTGCAGCGATGGTCACATCACATGTAGCAGCTGGGATCATGTAAAAGTGGTGGCGACAACCATGAATGACTTTGATAGTGGTGGTACTTGAGCACACGGTCTCGAGCTTCGGGATAAAAGGCTAAGTCTGACCCAAGTTTGGTATACCTGGCAATGGCGATGTTTTACATCATTACCTTGTTGAAGGCATTGTTCGAAATATTCTGACCGATTCTTCATGGTGAAAGCCTAGATACCTTGGGTGACTGGATCCGGTGACGGTGACACTTGAGTGTCGACGCACCCTTCCTGAAGGCATTGTTGTTTAATAATCTCGTCGTCCGTGTGGTGTCATGAGATGATCGGTGCAGATATGGTCATTGTTATAGTTTGCCGATCGTGGATCTGATCGCTTTGGGGCATTTTTGTTTTCATTTTCCTCGTCTGCGCATAGTTTTGGTCTTATATGACTTTGCTATTTGCAGGCCTGTTTTTCTGTATGTGCGTTGATATTGGCTATGTGCATCCTAGCTATACAGAGACCGGGTGTGTTCTCATTGTGTTTGTATCCTATTGATGCTCAATTTTGAGTCAATAAAGTCCACCCTTTATTAAAAAAAGATAGCTCTAGCTTTTTTTGGAAATGAAGGCGTACCCCCGGCCTCTGCATCATAATGGTGCATGCATCCATCTTATTAAAAATCCACGGAGTAGCACAAAGTTATAAAAGTATTACAGCTCGCAAGCGGAGTGAAACAGACGAAAGAAAGAAAAATACATGCTGAAAATCGCAACCGGTAAGGCAAAATGAAGGATAAGCTCCCTAGACTCCTATCATGTTATGCGACCGCCATCTGAACCGGTTGAATATAACCTGTGCTACCATCTCCCACTGGTTGCACCCAGTAATCAAAGACTGCCTGGAGTCCATAGGTGTGAGTAAGGACTATGTACGGATCCATTTGTTAGCTCTGAAGATGACCTGCAAGAAAGTTAAAGTGTGTTGTTTGTTAAAAATCACATCATTCCTACAGTTCCATATAGCCCACAGAAGCGCACATATTCCAATCCGAATATGAGCGGCAGTAGTATGTTCAACCCTAGCTAACCACGTTCCAAACAACGACTCAATGTCAACTGGAGGATTAATGTTAAAGGCTATATGAATCGTTCTCCAAAGCAATTTGGCGAGTGGGCGTTCAAGGAATAGATGTTGTATTGTTTTATCATGATCACAAAAACAACAACGTGAAATACCTACCCATCGCGTCTTGATTAAGTTGTCCTTGGTGAGTATTACTTGCTTGTGAACGAACCACATAAAAATTTTAATACGCAAAGGAACCTTAACCTTACAAATATGCAACGATCTTGAGATTGGGCCAGAATTAATCAAATCCATATAGAAAGATTTCACCGTAAATACCCCATTCCTAGCAAATTTCCAGTGCGTCGAATCCAGCTGGTCGGATAGTTGAACATCTATTAATCTCCGAACCAAGTGCATCCAGGCAGTCCATCGCTCACCAACAAATGCACGTCTGGATTGGATATTCAAGGGAATCGTTTGGAAAACTATGCCTAACTAATCCACCTTACGTTACACAATGTTATAAAGGGTTGGATATTGTACGGTCAGGGGTGTCTCTTCTAACCACGTATCCTCCCAAAATCTTGTTGGCATCCCATTGCCAACCAAGAATTTGACCCTACGAAAGAACAAGTCCTTGGTTCTCAAGTCCCTTCCAGGATGACGAGTCAGTTGGTCTCATGGTAACCTGGGCGAGCGTTTTCGACTGTAAATACTTATTGCACAAAATATGTGCCCACACGCCTTCCGGCTCTATCTCTAACCTGTAGAGACATTTACTCATAAGGCATTTATTCTTGATTTGTAAGTTCTCAATACCGAGACCCCCCTCCCCCCCCCCCAGTCTTTTGGTCGGCAAAGGATATCCCATCGCGTGAGACGTTATTTCCTCTTGGCCTCATCTGACTGCCAGAAGAACCGAGATCTGAAGAAATCAAATCGCTTCCGTACCCCTTTTGGAATCTCGAAGAACGATAGTAGGAACATCGACATACTAGTCAGTACCGAGTTAATCAGCACTAGCTGACCTCCATAAGACCCTTCCAGCAGCTAAGCTTTTTTTCAATTCGATCTTCGATACACTTCCATTCTTTATTGAATAAATTACGGTGATGAATCGGTATGCCCAAATAACTAAATGGTAAAGAACCTAATTCACACCCGAACAGTTGTCTATAAGTGTCTTGCTCGTCTTTGGCCTTCCCAAAGCAGAACAACTCGCTCTTGTGAAAGTTTATCTTTAAACCAGACAATTGTTCGAAGAGACATAATATAAGTTTCATATTGCACGCCTTAGCAATGCCATGTTCCATAAATAAGATAGTGTCGTCAGCATACTGTAAAATGGAGAGTCCCTCATCAACCAGATGAGGGACTAACCCCTCCACCTGACAATGTTGCTTGGCCCTGCCAATAAGAATGGTCAACATATCGGCCACTATATTAAACAATAGAGGAGACATGGAATCCCCTTGTCTCAATCCCTTATGTGTCTGAAAGTAATGACCGATATCATCGTTAACCTTGATTCCGACACTACCCTTCTGGACTTGAGAACCCACTTGGTTCCGCCAGTCCTCATTAAATCCTTTCATGCGCATTGCCTGCTGAAGGAAAGGCCACTTAACTTTATCATATGCCTTTTTAAAATTCACTTTGAAGATAACCCCATCTAGCTTCTTCGAATGAATTTCATGTAACATTTAATGCAGAACGGCCACCCCTTCAAATATGTGTCGCCCTGGCATGAACACTGTCTGGCTCGGTTGTATCACTGAATGAGCAATCTGTGTCAATCTATTGGTACCCACCTTACAGGGCTAACCCCTCTAAAATTGATAATGTTTTACATTGTACTAATGGAATAGACCCAAGATTTTGTATATTGCGAGAGGAAGAATCCATGTCCCCCGAATAAGTGATTCTACTAGCAATTTGTTCAAGTTCAGCGTTTCTTCTATCTCGACAGTTCCAAATTATATTGGTATTACTTTGTGAATCAATTGGAATGTCCAGCTAAGTACTCCCTACATTCCCTTATACAAGGCCACAAACTCAAATTACAGATACCAAGATAAAATTTAATGATTGCTTTGCAAGCCAACTTTTCTTCTCGTTAATCGGGATCATTAATACGCATGCATGCATGCAAGGAAGGAATGAGAAGGGAGTAGCACAATGTCATTATGATCACATGCATGCAAGTATTAAACAAGTTGCTACTACAAGAAAACATCATTAAGTTTTGCCTCGATTACTGTTAGTGGCCATGTATAGATGCAAATTGTATTTTTCATAGTGGCCTCGTATAAAGGAATGGAGGGAGTAAAAGGCATAGACCCTAGCTTATAGGCTTAATTAACATGCCCTCGTAATATAGAAGAGACAAAGTATAACAGTAAATTTCTCAAGCATTTTTCTCTCTTTCCTAGAAGAGCGCTCACAAGGCGCAAAACCAGGCAGGCATAGAGTTTAGAGGCAATTCTTTCAGTTGTTGGCTTCTCTCTTACTCTCATATTGATTATTTTTTAACTCATAGATGCCACTTGTAGATCTTACAGAGATGCTGTTAGGATGGAACATCAACCTTACAACACAACAAGATGATAATGGAAATGCAGCTCTTCACTTAGTTGCATCTGTACTCCATCAAAGAGACCTAAGAGCCATACGTTTGCTTCTACTGAAGGCCAATCCAGATGCATTATATCAAGCGGACAACAATGGATCATTCCCCATACATGTGGGTGTAAAACCTGCCATCAGTGATTTTCTTATGGAGTCACCCAGTTGTGTTGGTTTTTGTGATGCTAGGGGAAGGACAGTTCTTCATGTTGCAGTTGAAAAAGGGGAAATGTGGAGAGTCCGTTTTGCTTGCAGCAACCGATCTTTATCATGGATTTTGAATATGCAAGACAACAAAGGAAACACGGCCATGCACCTAGCTGTACAGACAGGGAACTTTACGATGTTCTGTGCTCTATTGGGGAATACAAAGGTAGACTTGAATTTAACAAATAAGAAAGGAGAGACTCCGTTTGATATAGCACGTTCCAAGCTTATTATCAAAGGTCTACATAGTAACCAGGTAATATACACGAACTATCATATTATTTTAATCATAGTGTTGGAGGTGAATGAGAACAATTGAGATTTGCGTGATTCAACTGTTATTTATTATGATTTTGCAGAACAGCTCAGCAAAAATACACTGGACACTCGGATATGTTGGTGCTAAGTCAGGTATTTATCGCCGGGATTACTTTGAAGAAAAAAAGGAAATCGTCCAAGCAAGACAGAATGAAACACGTACAATTGAGAATGTGAAAGATGGGACACAAAGCCTATGTATTGGCTCCGTACTAATAGCAACCGTGACATTTGGTGCAAGTTTCGCCATGCCTGGAGGTTATAGAGCTGATGATCACACTAACGGAGGCACACCAACACTTGCTGGAAGGCTTGCTTTTGATGCATTCATGATAGCCAATTCGTGTGCATTCACTTGCTCCATGATAGCGACAATTGCTCTTATGTTTTCCGGATCTCCCATGCATAACCCTCAGAGCCGGTTAGTTCACTTAGGCACGGCCTTTGGTTTCATGTCAATTTCGATTACATGCTTGATAGCGGCCTTTGCACTTGGTACCTATATGATGCTAGCTCAAGTTGCTCATAAGATAGCCATTGCAGTAGATGTCATGAGTTCTCTCATATTGCTCTATCAAAGTTTGGAAATTGCAATCAAGAATAGTCTTCTTGTATCGCCACTCTGTAGAAGGAAGGGGATATGTCAGAAGAGAGTCTGGACATTCCCATTGACAGCAGTCACATTCGTGGGCAGTATTATAATTCAACTTTGGCCCATAGCAGTCATCTTTTGTTTGACTGCATTAAGTCACACCCGTGGCAAAGGGGAACCTGAAGCACAACCACCGACACCGCTAGCTTGAAGAGGGCTAAATAAGCGTGCATTACATGGATCAGGGCAGTGCCATCTTTTGCGGTGTCAACCAGGACTATGTTTTTTGAGGAATTTTATGTCACCTTAGACCTTTCTTCATTCAAGAGTGAATTTGCTTGTACCAGTGTAACGGCAAACAATTCTTACTACATTTGCCTGCTTCTGCATTTTATTATCTGTTGGAGTTTGTGATTCATCTGAGCTGATTGAATGAGCTACAATATTTCTCTAGTATGAACTCAACTTTGTGACAATACTTTTAATATAGATTTCTCTACTCTATTCGTAAAAAAACGCCATATTTGACAATACCGGAGAAACACACTGATACAATGGCGTCGCTCTTTGCCATAATCGATGCCGAGGGTCGTGTTATCATGTCTAGGAAATAGTACTGGCAGGTCACCCGGCCTGGAGTCCATGAAGGCCGTGTTAGAAGGGAGAGAGGGATTGGTGGAATAGTTGTTGTATTGCTTGAGCCTCGTGGGCATATATATAGGAGTACAATCATCTACTTGGAGTACAAGACAAG